GACTGGAGTTGAGAAACACTGCTCTACAGCAAGGGCAGAGAAGAAACAAACTGCTCCAACTTGCTCACTTCACTGGCGGTTGCCATCTTCAAATGGTTGTAGTTTAAAAATTATAAATCCTACAGTGAAGAGCTTTATATTGTGAGAATCACAAGATCCAGACCTACATTTTGATGCATAGTATGTCTCTGAAATATGAAAAATGAAGGCACAGTCGCAGTGTATAAATTGCCCTTCAAATTTGAGGTGGCTAGAGTGGAGTTTCAATGAATGTCATGATTTGCAAACAAATGGTCATATTGTGAAAACTATCAGGACTATGGCTTAGCCGTGGACATTTTTAGTGGCAGCAGGGATAGCTGAACGTTTTGATATAAGATTTGTGTAGGTGGCCTTGAAAATGAGGGAGTGATGGCAGTTTAGAAATCATGTCCTGATTTTTCAGCTCACACTCTAGCTTTTGTCAGCTCCCACTCTAGTTTTGAACATTCCGCCGTTCATTCCTATGGGACCAATTTCACCACAAAAACGGTGATATTTCGTGAACCATTCGGCGAAACGTTCCACAAAGTAATAGCACACCAATCGGGAACAATCCGCACGTTTCGGTATATTACTGTCTATGTAGTGTAAAAACTGTGGGAGGAGTTAGGGGGGTAAATTTGGCTATAATAATAAGGAATATATATGTGAGATAACAGGAAGTGGTCGCCATGCAGGAACACTTAATAAAATAGGAGCTGTATTTGGTAGCTGACAACAACCGCTGGAGCTCCCCTTGAGAAAATGCACACCTCTTGTTACTATCCAAATAACTAAACACGGGGCGTTGTGTTTTATCAGCAGATCCAGGCATTGCTACACATGGGGTTTGTGTACTGACATGATAACAGAATTTTTTTTTTTTTTTTATACAAAGTCTCTATTTGCATAGCCAATACAGGAGTGGAAGATGGTACTGAAACTGCAGATTTCTGCAAAGCAAGGTATGAGCCAGCGTATATCATCACCTGCTGTATGTAGTCTCAGATTATAACATCGGATATTGACACATTTTGTATTTAAAACCTAACTGGATGTCATTGATTCTTGTAAAGCTCCGTGTTCTATACACAGTTTCCATGTTTTTTCTTTTTACACAAAATACCATTTTCCTGTTTTTGAATTTCTTTTTTCCATCCTCTTCATGCAGGCATTCAGGGTGGAATTTACTAAAACTGGTGCACACAGAATCTGGTGCAGTTGTGCACAGTAACCAATCGGCTTCTAACTGCAGCTTGTTTAACCTTTGCCAATAAAAACCTAGAAGCTGATTGGTTACTCTGCACAGCTGCACCAGATTCTGTGTGCACCAGTTTTAGTAAATCTGCCCTTCAGTGTCTACATACAGACACCAGCATGAGCTGCACACCTTTGTTCTGGACCAGGGTACTAATGGTGTCAACAGTGGACCTTGCCTGCACAATATGCTTCGGCACAAGAAGAGGGGATATGTGACAGGGCTTCTTTATGTCAAAATGCTGTATATGTGAAGGGGGACTCATGTAGAGATGCACTGATGGTGTTTGGACAATTTTATTACCTTTGTTGGGGGGGGGGGGGTGCTTGTAATGATGGCAATGGACAGTGCAGAGCATAACCAGAATCAAACGGGTTGATGTACTAAGACTGAAGATTGCAAGATCCGGTGCAGCTCTGCATAGAAACCAATCCGCTTCCATAACTATTTTTTTCCCCAAGCCCAATTGAACAAGTTGCAAGTTGCACTCTCCAGTTTTAGTAAATTAACCCCAAATTGTAGGAAGTTACTAGCACTCCCAGGGGCGGACTGACCATTTGGAAACTCGGGCACTGCCCGAGGGCCCGGGGTCAGTAGGGGGCCCCATGAGATGCCCCTGGTACCTTTTTCATTGGCTTTTTTGAGTTTGGGCAAGGACACAGGGGCCCCATGATCCCCCTATTGCCGGGGGCCACATTAGATGTCAGTCCGCCCCTGAGCAGTCCTAGGATTTGGTTCCACGATTTATTTGAATACATAATGCCACAAGAGTCAAGCTGCCAATGTTTCAGGGCCTCGTGGGGTTCCGCTTCCTCAGTGACAATGCTGGATCACCATTTGGAGAGAGTTGTCACCCTGTAACAGGAAGTGCTTGAACCAGAACCTTCATGACTGGTTCACCAGGTATTTAATGAAAGGTGATGATTTGAATTAAGTTCCCTTTTCACTTTCATACAGTGCCCAAGATGCTGTTCACCAGAATACCAGCAGAAAGGTGATGTTTGGCATTTGAGTATCCTGATACGTAACATCAACACTTGGATGAAAAACAAAAATAAGTATTTAGGCAATGATCTCTATGTGTGTTGGCTTACTTTTTAGGTTTGACAGCATTTACCATTAAATTGGGTGTAAACCTCAGACATGAAATATGCACAAAGCACATCCTTCTATACTGTGTACTTGTCTCTATTCAAAGCACTGTGTGATTTCTTTCTGCTGCCTTGTTCCTTTATCTGCATGAATCACTTCTGACAGCTTTTAACCCCCCTAGCGGTATTCCCGAGTGTAGCTCGGGGTAAAGTTTCAGTACCAAAAGCGGTAACCCCCCCGAGCTACATTCGGGCTTACCATGCAGCGTTGCATAGGGAGTCCCTGCAGCGCTTACCTTGTCCTTCGCTCCCGCGATGCGTCCTCTGAAGAGTCCCCGGCCATCTCCTCTGGCCGATGCCAGCATCCGGCTTCCGTGTTTCGGTCCCTGTGACGTCGGGACGTACGGCAAATTTAACATTTTTTAAAAATTAAATTTTTTTAAAAATGATTATTACATAGTAAAATATTCCTGTATCAAACCATTTCACATACATTTTGTCCCGAGTGATTTGTCCGGCGCCCTGCCTGCATTTTGTCTGTTCTTTCTGTAACTTTCAGTAACAGAAGCGGTAACCCCGACATACACTCGGGAATACACTGCAGCATGTCCGCCTCCCCCCCCCCCCCCCCCCCGCAGAGTCCCCGGCCATCTCCTCCGGCCGATGCCGGCATCCATGTTCCGGGTTCCCTTCCCTGCGAGAGTCGGGACGTATGGGGGACGGAACCGGCGGGAAATTCAAAAATTTGACATTCACTCAATACACTAAAATCTCATAGTAAAACATTGCTGTATCAAAGCATTTCACATACATTTTGTCCCGAGTGCTTTGTCCTGTCCCCTGCCTGCATTTTGTCTGTTCTTTCTGCCTGGAAACTTAGAAAAGTCCATGGCGTCCAAAAAGCGTCCCTTTAGGTCAAAAGCGGTTTTAGACCGGCTAGAGAACAGCGATAGTAAATCAGAACCACTTGCAGAATTGAGTGATAATGATTCGGGGGGAAATTAGTCATCAGACACTGAAAACGATTCTGCGACTTTGCTCAGCGATGTGCGAACTTGGAGATATATTTCACATTTCAGTGTTTTTGGTTTGATTATATTATTTAATTTAATTATTATTATTTTTTATTATTATTTATTAAATTATAATTTTTATTTCGTGTTTCAAGTTTTATCCTTTATTACTAACTCTTGTTCGGATAATTTTCAGTGAGTTTTTGTGTTTCAAGTTTTATCCTACCATGCAAAATAATGGATGTTTACTAGACAAAAATCGGACAGATTTCAGTGAGTTATTCCTAAATTAAGGCCTACAATAAAAAAAAATTACATATTTCCATGCAAAAAAATGGTAAGGCTTTCAGCACCAAAAATCTGATTAATAATCATACCGCCAGGGAGGTTAATGACACCAAGAAATAATAGGTGATGGGAAAAAAACGCTCCAGCACACAACCTGTGATTGTCAGCCATAGCTGTGTATGTTCTCTGTGTACTGCGTGAAGGGGTGTGTGTCCCTTCTCCCCAATCAGAGCTTGGAGTTCTCACTGATCTCTGCAGTGTGGAACATCAGATCCCCTCTTTTAATTTCATAGAGAGGTGATACGTGAAATGTGTATTTTAGAAAGCTCTGATATGGCTGCAAATAAAGAGGTACAACTTATGTAGGAGGATTTGTTACATCTTTGTGTATCATCTGAGCTAATCACTTCACTGGGTATATGTAAGGGTTTTCAGCCACTTTAGTATACCAGGCGACATATAGTCACTGATTTGCTTTACCAAAGAACTATTTTAAACAGCCAACTGTTTTATCTGTCAATGTCATAGTGTACTTTCTGTTTTGATTTGCCTGTGTGTTTCTTGTTTTACCTGACAATGTGATAGTTTGGGGGGGGTGTAACTAGAAAAATTGTGGTGATAGCATTGGGGTTAAAAATGAACCCACAAAAGCATTGGCAATGGGTAGTGCATGTCACAGAAGGTCACAGAAGGTTCAGCTGAGGAAATTTATTGTGACTTTAATTGCTTATGTGTTCTATGTTTTTCTGTCATTGATAAAGGCGATTTCTGTAAAATGTTTTGTATCTATAAGATTCTGATGTAGAGAAGAATCTCACACATCAAATAGTTTAAGAAACAGCACTTCCTGGAATGAGATGTGGAATTTGACAGATGTAAAAAGGAAAAAAGAAAAAAAAAACTTCCAGTCCCATTTTTTTTTCCCCTCAGTATATAGCTTAAAATTGAGAAAGAAGAAGAATACTCTGAAATTGTAAGTTTGTTGTTCTCATTGTCTCCCAGTAGGTGGCTGTATAAAGCTGACTATTTTACAGAGAAATGACAGCAATGGTTATACACGGCTCACAAAAATGAAAGGCACACACTTTTTGATAGGAACACTTTTTAATAGTATAGTATCAAGTCAATTAAACTGGGATATCGATCTGGTCAGTTAAGTAGCAGAGGGGGTTGTTAATCATTTTCTGCTGCTTTCGTGTTAATGAAATTAACAACAGGTGCACTAGATGGGCAACAATGAGATGACCCCCAACACAGGAATGGTTTTACAGGTGGAGGCCACTGACACTGTGACACTGTACTATTTGTGGGGGGTAATGAAGATTTTTTTTTTTTTACACTGATTGCTTTTCCACTCATAAAGGCTGCTTTCTCCTTCTCTCTAGCTGCATTCTTGCAGCCATTGAGAACCACTATGTGAGCTGTGATTGGTCACAGCTTGTCACATGGTACAAGGCTGTTGTGAATGGCCTTGTACCATGTGACCTCTGTGATCATTCACAGATTTCACACGTAGTAAGCAATGATGTAGTAAGCAGTGACATCTTGCTCTCTACTCTGCATGTGATCACTGATTGGGACCTCACAGAGAGGTCCCGTATGACGAGCTAAGTTCCACTGTGTCCGGAGGACACAGCGGGCACCGGATCGCGGTGCTGCGCACTCCCAGGGAGCGCGCACAGTCCAAAATGGCGGGCGCCATTTATGAACGGCAACCCGCCCCTGGACTGCCACCGTCCGCCCGTTTATATACAGCGGCCGCACGGCAAGTGGTTAAGGCACGTTTTATGTGTACATAGACATAGAGGGCATGATTTACTGAAACTGATTGACTCAGAATCTGGTGCCGCTGTGCATGGCAGCCAATGAGCTTCTAACCTCAGTTTGTTCAATTAAGCTTTCGCAATAAAATCTGGAAGCTGATTGGTTTCTATGCAGGAGTGCACCTGATTTTGCACTCTGCAGCTTTAGTAAATAAACCCCATAGGCTTACCTATAGGTGATTTTACAGGCTGGAAAAAAAAAACCACTCAAGGCCTGTATAAGCAAGGTCTGTATGAGCAAGGTCTGTATAGGCAAGGCCTGTATGAGCAAGGTCTGTATGAGCAAGGTCTGTATGAGCAAGGTCTGTATAAGCAAGGTCTGTATAAGCAAGGCCTGTATAAGCAAGGCCTGTATAAGCAAGGCCTGTATAAGCAAGGTCTGTATAAGCAAGGTCTGTATAGGCAAGGCCTGTATGAGTAAGGCCTGTATGAGCAAGGTCTGTATGAGCAAGGTCTGTATAAGCAAGGCCTGTATGAGCAAGCAAGGCTGTATAAGCAAGGCCTGTATGAGCAAGGTCTGTATGAGCAAGGTCTGTATGAGCAAGGTCTGTATAAGCAAGGTCTGTATAAGCAAGGCCTGTATATGAGCAAGGCCTGTATAAGCAAGGCCTGTATGAGCAAGGCCTGTATGAGCAAGGTCTGTATACGCAAGGTCTGTATACGCACGGTCTGTATGAGCAAGGCCTGTATGAGCAAGGCCTGTATAAGCAAGGCCTGTATGAGTAAGCAAGGCCTGTATAGGCAAGGTCTGTATGAGCAAGCAAGGTCTGTATGAGCAAGGTCTGTATGAGCAAGGTCTGTATGAGCAAGGTCTGTATAAGCAAGGCCTGTATAAGCAAGGCCTGTATGAGCAAGGCCTGTATGAGCAAGGTCTGTATGAGCAAGGCCTGTATGAGCAAGGTCTGTATAAGCAAGCCTGTATGAGCAAGGCCTGTATGAGCAAGGCCTGTATACGCAAGGTCTGTATAAGCAAGGCCTGTATGAGCAAGGTCTGTATGAGCAAGGCCTGTATGAGCAAGGTCTGTATAAGCAAGGCCTGTATGAGAAAGGTCTGTATAAGCAAGGCCTGTATAAGCAAGGTCTGCCTGTATAAGCAAGGCCTGTATACGCAAGGCCTGTATGAGCAAGGTCTGTATGAGCAAGGTCTGTATGAGCAAGGCCTGTATGAGCAAGGCCTGTATGAGCAAGGTCTGTATAAGCAAGGTCTGTAAGCAAGGTCTGTATGAGCAAGGCCTGTATGAGCAAGGTCTGTATAAGCAAGGCCTGTATGAGCAAGGTCTGAGCAAGGTCTGTATACGCAAGGTCTGTATACGCAAGGTCTGTACGCAACGCCAAGGTCTGTATACGCAAGGTCTGTATAAGCAAGGCCTGTATGAGCAAGGTCTGTATACGCAAGGTCTGTATACGCAAGGTCTGTATACGCAAGGTCTGTATACGCAAGGTCTGTAGTCTGTATAAGCAAGGTCTGTATACGCAAGGCCTGTATACGCAAGGTCTGTATACGCAAGGTCTGTATACGCAAGGTCTGTATACGCAAGGTCTGTATAGCAAGGTCTGTATAAGCAAGGTCTGTATAAGTCAAGGTCTGTATACGCAAGGTCTGTATACGCAAGGTCTGTATACGCGTAGCTTGTTAAGCTCTGTGTGCGCAAAGTCTTAATGTTGAACAGCACCTGTGATCAGCAAGGTTGTAAACAAAGTAGTTAGACTAGGTTTATAATAAAGTATAATTACAGGCAAAACGTTTTTTAGTTTTGTATAGAGTGGAGAGGGATTATAACGTTAGGATTTTATCTAACCACTTCAGGGAGATTCACCCTCCCTATTTGCCCATTTAGCCTTGTCATCAACAGTGAAATTATAAGAAAATCCCAAATTGTGGGTTGTCCCTAGAACAGTAATAGATGGTAAATCTTCCAGTGGGGATACTCGTTCTGGTGACCTGGGGGCCCCAATGGATTCCTTTATTTGCAAAGATTTCCTTTCACTTCCTGTTTCAGTTATGGGACACGAAGTGAAGATAAATCTCCCCAGTGGAACACAGATTGCAAAAGAGCTGATGGGTTATAATCCTCCCTTATTCTATCTAAAAATGAAAGAAAAAGTTTTGCCCATAGTACTACTAAACTGAAAAAACTATTGGTGTGTGAAACTTTAGTACTCACTTCAATCAATGCCCATATTCTAGAGTTACTGTACTTAGATATCAAAGCTGGTACCAGAAACTGTGTGACCTCAGTCAAAGATCAACATTATTCCACATGCCAGCTGTTGCCCTGCAATATGGTAGCCAGAGGTAGTTTGATCTAGGTTTCCCAAAATTTCAATTGCACGAGCAAGCCCATGAGCAGCAGTTTTTTTAATCATGGCAAATGAGCAAAGTGGCTAAATGGTTAGCACTTCCGCCTGGCAGTACTAGGATCATTGGTTCAAATCCCAACCATGGCACCACCTGCCTGGAGTTTGCATGTTCTCCCTGTGCCTGCGTGGGTTTCCTCTTGGTACGCTGATTTCCTCACACACTCCAAAGACATGCTGGTAGGTTAATTGGCTCCTGTCTAACTTGTCCCTAGTATGTGTATGTATGAATGTGAGTTAAGGACCTTAAATTGTACACACCTTGATGGTTAGGGACTGATGTAAATGTACAATATATATGTAAGTGCTGCGTAAATTGATGGCGATATATAAGTACCTGAAATAAATAAAATTCACTTTTATTTTATTCCAAACAATAATGTGATTTTAACAGGTTCCCGCCCGGCCTGTAGCCAGATGGCTGTCTGCAAATCCCCTTGTCCCTCCGGGTGGACACCATATGGCGTCCTTTCAGGCATGTGCAGTTTGCCTGTCCGCAGAGCGCACGATCTGTCACCGGCCATGTACCTCAGACACGGCGATGACAGATCTGAGTATCGGCCCTGTTGCCGGTACCATGTGACCTTCTGTGACCAATCACAGCAGGTCACATGACAGTTGTATACAATGGATGGCTTCCTATCATGCCATCCATTGTATACAAGTGTGTCTAGCAGTGAATGGTCACAGCGATCACATGCACAAGCTGGGCCAATCACAGCCCAGCTGTGTCATGTGATTAGCCGTGGCCAAATCACAGCTAAGCACAAAAAAAATCCTGAATGAATCGATGTCATTCAGGTAAATGCTTGCTTATAGCAAGGTAATTCTTTGCTATAAGCAAATTGTGTAAAAAAAAAAAAAAAATACTGATCACTTCCCCAAAGTAGTACAATGTTACTATGGTAACATTGTACTATTTTGGTCATAGTGAAATATGAAAAAAAAAAGAAACTAATTGTAATAAAAAATTAAAACTAAAAAAAATAAAAAAAAGTAAAAAAATTATAATTTTTTTTTTTCATACTGTCACCAGTCAGTGTCCCTGATCACCGCCATGCCAGTTATATGATGACGCTGTACTGCACTGGTGACAGTATGTAAAAAAAAAAATAGTGAAAATAATTTTTTTCATTTTTTCATTTTACGAAAAATTATGACAAAAAATTACAATTTCAAAAAACTCACCATGCCTCTTATGAAGTAAGTTGGACTGTCTACTGTGCAAAAAGTGGTCATTTGGGGGATATCTGTACTATTCTGACATTCTTGGACCTTAAGAAATTAGATTGGCTGTCAGTACTTCAGGATTTTCAATATTCGGATCTATACCATAGTTTGTGAACTCTATAACTTTCTGTAACGTACATGTAAGATTTGAGTAGCTGAGATATGACATAAATATAAAGATTTGAGTAGCTGAGATGTTATCTGTAGAAAATATGACGGTGTAGGTTTAGCTCATTCCATGGTAATATAAGATGTGTTCAGAGTTCAGTCAGAGACAGATGGTCACCAATTAGCATCTGAAGGGACAGAGCTTCCTCTGGAAGGAGGTGACAGCTGGGTGCCAATAAGATTTGTCACCTACATGTTAGACATTTCGGCTTCATAGACAGCGGGGGACCAAGAGAGGGCTCCAAGGTGTCTGCCGAGCTTTAAAGTATACCACAGATCAAAGGAATAGATTTCATCTCTCATAAAAGCTAAAATATTAGTTGCAGAGAGATGAAAATACTTCCTTTTGATTGGGCACTCTGTGGACTACATCTGCATGTAAAAACCGTATTTGTGGCCTATATAGAATGCCAGAAAAATGCAGGAAATGGTTATGTGGCTCCGGATTGTGACAGCTGAACAGTGATTGGTACTGTCGCGATCGGACTGATGTGTTGGTGTCGGAAATTCAATCCACGACTTGGTGATTCAAACCGTTCCTGGTCCAATCGACTTTGGGCATTTCAGCACCCAGAACGTCCTGTGGGCTGGTACGGAACACCCCCCAAGGTTGATTAGCCAAGGACTCATGTCCAGCCCATGTCCATATTCCCATAAATTGAGGACTTGAAGTATGGACGTGGTGATTCGTATGGAGCCCGTTCTCTTTGACTGACGGATCGCGGACTTTCTCTGACTTGCTCAGTTGCAGGATAAATCTTGGTAAGAGTTTTATTTCTGTTTTTATTCCCTTTTATTTTATAGCCAATAGTCAATTGTGTGTCTTCTTGTATTTTTTGTATTTTCTGTAACTTTTTATACTTTGTACATATTTTATGCACCGCCCACTTTGGGATATCATAAAATTAATAAGTGACTTCTGTGTACTTAAGCGGGCTCATATCTCCAGAGAGATTGTATTGTATTGTATTTTAGTGTCTTTAAATGCTTGGTCAAGTTCATTGCCTATCTGTATGCAATTGCACTGTTTGTTGGCAGATTGCGTGCAGATTGTAAAGGTAGCAGATCTGCCAGACGGAGATCTGTGTGTGTGTGTGGTGTACCAAAAGACCGTTCTGCAGATACACTGTTGGGTGGTGGCAAGCTACCATTTGTGGAGTGTCTGGTGTGGGGGTGTGTGGACAGTGGAAGAGTGATTAACACCGGGGTTCTAGCTTGGAGGATAGCTGGAGGAACCCTAGAAGGGTGTGCGATTGCTAGGCTGCTCCTCAACTCTAATTAGTGCACCAGATTGTATGTAAGATTTGTGTCTGCTGTGTGTGGTCGGCTGCCTGGATTGGAGTGGAGTCTCCCTCCAGTGGTGGCCAAGAGGTAGTGTGGGCTGTGAAAGTATATCACAATCGGTCTTATATACTTAGATATATTCAGATTAAGTCCCCCTTATTCTCACGGCCGCACGTGCGTGCCTCGGTTAGCTAGTCGCTGTGGGCGTGCCGTGCGGGTGAACCATGAATCTTTCCTACAAACTAAATAATACATCCTAATTTGGGTTATTTTCACCAAAGACATGTAGCAGAATACATCTCGGCCTAAATTTATGAAGAACAATTATTTATTTGCAAATGTTTATAACAGAAACAAAGAAAAACGTGTTTTTTTTCAAAATTGTCTCTTTTTTTGTTAATTTAGCAAAAAAAAAAAACCCGGCGATGATTAAATACCACCAAAAAGAAAGCTCTAGTTGTGTCAAGAAAATGATAACATTTTAGTTTGGGTACAATGTTGTATGACCGCGCAATTGTCATTCAAAGTGGGAGAGCGCTGAAACCTGAAAAATGGCCTGGGCAGGAAGGGGGTAGAAGTGCTCTGTAGGCAGGAAGGGGGTAGAAGTGCCCTGTAGGCAGGAAGGGGGTAGAAGTGCCCTGTAGGCAGGAAGGGGGTAGAAGTGTCCTGTAGGCAGGAAGGGGGTATAAGTGTCCTGTAGGCAGGAAAGGGGTAGAAGTGCCGGGAGGCAGGAAGGGGGGGGTAGAAGTGCCCTGTAGGCAGGAAGGGGGTAGAAGTGTCCTGTAGGCAGGAAAGGGGTAGAAGTGCCGGGAGGCAGGAAGGGGGTAGAAGTGCCCTGTAGGCAGGAAGGGGGTAGAAGTGCCCGGTAGGCAAGAAGAGGGTAGAAGCACCCTGTAGGCAGGAAGGGGGTAGAAGTGCCCTGTAGGCAGGAAGGGGGTAGAAGCGCCCTGTAGGCAGGAAGGGGGTAGAAGTGCTCTGTAGGCAGGAAGGGGGTAGAAGTGTCCTGTAGGCAGGAAGGGGGTAGAAGTGCCTGTAGGCAGGAAGGGGGTAGAAGTGCCCGGTAGGTAGGAAGGGGTAGAAGTGCCCTGTAGGCAGGAAGGGGGTAGAAGTGTCCTGTAGGCAGGAAGGGGGTAGAAGTGTCCCTGTAGGCAGGAAGGGGGTAGAAGTGCCCTGTAGGCAGGAAGGGGGTAGAAGTGTCCTGTAGGCAGGAAGGGGGTAGAAGTGCCTGTAGGCAGGAAGGGGGTAGAAGTGCCCGGTAGGCAGGAAGGGGGTAGAAGTGCCCAGTAGGCAGGAAGGGGGTAAAAGTGCCCTGTAGGCAGGAAGGGGGTAAAAGTGCCCTGTATGGAAGCGGTTAATTATAGATCTACGTAAATGAATTATGGTTCTGTGAATAGACCTTGTATGAGGCGTCAGCAACAAGAGACATACAGTATCCTGAAATGAGAGATGAAGACGATTTGCGATTCGCTCTGTCACACAATCCTCTCAATTACTACAGCTACTTTACAAAGCTTTGATCCAAAAGCAACAAACCTGAGTGTCTGCGGGTCAGCAACTATTGTCAGGAGTGTAAAATTACCTTTTTTTGAAGAACTTAAATGTTACATTCTATTTAATGTTTTAAATAGCAAAGAAAATAAAGCAAACTTTGATTGCTAGAAAAAATGGACTTTGTGATATTTTGCTAGGAAAGCATAGAGATTCTGACAGATGTATGCTGAGGTATGCTCCAGTTTAACCCCTTCCCGACCGGCCGTTGCATATAAACGGCCTCCCCGCACCCTGCTTGTGTGCGCTCCCTGGGCGCGCGCAGCACGACGATCCAGTGCCCGCTGTGTCCTCCGGACACAGTGAAACACCGATCGTCGGACGGGACCTCTGTGCGAGGTCACGATCATGTGATCACTGATTGGCCAATCAGTGATCACATGCAAAGTAGTAAGTAAGATGTCACTTGTGACATCATTGCTTACTACGTGTGAAATCTGTGAATGATCACAGAGGTCACATGGTACAAGGCTATTCACAACAGCCTTGTACCATGTGACAAGCTGTGACCAATCACAGCTCACTCAGTACTTCTCAATGAGTGCAAGAATGCAGACAGAGAGAAAGAGAAATGATTGCTTTTACATCCTATATGGGTGTAAAAGCAATCAGTGTAAAAAAAAAAAAAAAATCCTCATCACCCCCCCACAAGTAGTACAGTGTCACCATGGTGACACTGTACTGCTAGGGTGACAGTATGTAAAAAAAATAAAAATAAATAAAAAATAATAATATAAAAAAAATAAAATTAAAATGTAAATAAAAATGTTTAAAAATTATAATTTTTGGTTATAAACTAATTTGGATTTTTTTTTTTTTACTAAAAAGATAACGGAATAAATTTTGGCCAAGATTTATGATGGAATATTATTTATTTGCAAAATTTTATAAAAAAAACACTTTTTTTCAAAATTTTGGGACTTATCCATTTACATAGCAAAAAAAATAAAAATCCCAGCGGTGAATAAATACCACCAAAATAAAGCTTTATCTGTCTCAAAAGAATGGTAAAAAATTCATTTGGGTACAGTGTTGCATGACCGCGCAATTGTCATTTAAAGTGTGATAGCGCTGAAAGCTGAAAATTGCCCTGGACAGGAAGGGGGAAAAAGTGTCCGGACAGGAAGTGGTTAAATAGCTGCTTTATGTTAAAAAGTATAATAAAATGGTGGTGGGCAGAATTTTACTTTTTTTCTAATCCTGAACTTACTAATTAGGGAGGTTGCTTTCTTTGTAATGTGTAATTTACCTGTCACAGTCAAAGCTCAGGAATGACTTTTAACAAGTCCACTGTTTAATTAAAAATATGTTTTAAGTGAGAAAACACTCATGCCAGCCAATGATATTTAAGCTTCCAGTTTACAGTGGATGTTAAGAGTAATCTTTATTTATTTTCGCTACCTTTTTTGGTAATGGTTTATGACTTTTACTTCTTCCTTTTGGTTTAAAATGAGTAGTACAGTTTTTCTATTTGCTTTCCCTGTAATTCTGAACAATACAATAATTACCCTATAAGAGGATACAATGTACTTCTCTCAAGCCATGTACAGACCAAGCTCCGAGGACATGGGGTGCCAAACACTAGGCCAGGCTCCATCCTATGCCCTGCATGCTAAAGACATCTTCAGCTCAGTCTGAGGTCCTAAGTGCTGTGGAAGAGGTTTTCATTAAGGATAGCTCTATACTTTGCTCCTTTTTAGCTTTCCCTCAACCCCAACATTTCTCTTAGTCCCTGCTACTGAAAAACACCCCCACAGCATGATGCTGCCACCCACTGTTGGGATGATATTGGGACAATGATGAGCGGTGTCTGGTTTCCTCCAGAGATAACACTTAGAATTGAGATCAAACCAGAGAGTCTTGTTCCTCACAGTCTGAGAGTCCTTCATGTACTTTTTTGCAAACCCCAAATGGGCTTTCATGTGTTTTGCACTGAGGAGAAGCTTCTGTCTAGCCACTCTGCCCTAAAGCCCAGATTGATGGAGGGCTGCAGTGATGGTTGTCCTACTGGAACTTTGTCCCATCTCCAGATCACACAGGATCTCTGGAGCTTAGTCAGAGTGACCATTGGGTTCTCTCTTACTAAGCCCCTTCTCCCCCAAAAGCTCAGTTTGGTCGGGCGACCAGCACTTGGAAGAGTCCTGGTTATGCCAACTTTCTTTTATTTGAGAATTATGGAGGCCATGGTGCTCTTGAGAACCTGCAGTGCAGCAGGACTTGTTTTCTAGCCTTCCCCAGATCTGTGCCTTGCAATAATCCTGTCTCTGCTCTCTGCAGATGGTTGCTTTGACCATGGCTTTTGCTCTAATACAGTTTGCATGGTCATTTGTGAGGCCTTTTATAGACAGTTATGTGCCTTTCCAAATTATGTCCAATCAATTTTATTTACCACGGTGGACTTCAATTATATATGTGGGTATCACCACAGTCTTCACACTTCACACTTTGCTTCTGTATACCAAATATCAGCATACTTGTATCTGTGCTACCAATAAATAGGACAAGTTCAGCCAGATCACACTGTGTGTGTGGCCACAGTGCCACCAATGTCTGAAGGAACACCTAGAAAGAAAATGTATAAACCATATATAATGGTGATGATGGTCACAATCCATGAGCAAATATATAAGGAATGCTAGAAAGGCCATCAAGGGAAAGGTTAAATGAATGGTCAAAGAGGGGAACCTTTTAAGCTAGGATCAAGGTCACCCTTGATCCAGCAACATTCATTTTGCAGTAATAGACAATGGTGAGCTCCACTTCTGGTCAGTGGAGGATTGTACTCAATCACCATATATTAGAGGGGGTGAGGGGGGGGGGGTCTAGGTTATTTATTTAGAGAAAATGGCATACAGCCAATTGTGTGGAGGATCCTGAAGAAAAGACCTGTTGTAGAACCCATCAGTAATTATTATTATTATTATGCAGTATTTATAAAGCGCCAATAGTTCGCTCAGCGCTGTACATTACAGAGGGGGACAGAACATGTGACAGAACAATACCAATACAATGCAAAACATGAGGGGATCGAGGGCCCTGTTCTTTCCATCTTACAATCTAGGAGGGAGGGGGTGGTGGCACAGGAGGAGATAGCTGTGGGGGATGGAGTGGTAGGAAGAGTGGAGGAGGTCGGCAAGTTAGCAGGGGGTGGGGTAGGCTTCCCTGAAGAGGTGGGTTTTCAGGGTGCGCCTAAAGGAAATTATTATTATTATTATTAATAAAGCAATTTCTGAATGGAGTGATAATTTTACTCACATAATGTCAGCTGCATCAGCAACAGAGAATTGAGGATGTAAAAGACACTGTCCAACTAGCAAATGTCTGCATATATGCAGTCTGGACATTGATCACAATCCAATTTAACTGATAACCAGGACAGGGAAGCTGAAACAGATGGCAGTTCAGTTTAAAGCAACATGTTCTTAAAGCGGAGCTCCACCTAATAGGGGAAGTTCTGCTTTAAAGACTGGTCCCCCGCTCCCCATTAAGGATTGGCACCTTTGGGGAGCGGGTACCTGAAATTGACAGGTACCCATTCCCACTTCCACTGCGATCGACTAGGCGATTGGAAGCGGAAGTTGTCCTCCTACCCTTCCTCCCTGTAGTATTCTAGGACACATGCCATGTCCCAGAAGACTACGGGGCCATTCAGGAAGCACAGCGTTACTCGTGCATGCGCAGTGGGCACTCCGCTGTGAAGCCGCAAACTTTCACAGCCGGGTGCCCACACTGAGGATGCCGGCACCTGGAACACCAGACGGCTGGTCAAACGGGTTGTGGGGAGGACACCGTGGGATTGTGGGACAGGTGAGTGGCTGTTTTTTAAAAGTCATCAGCTACAGTTTTTGTAACTGCTGACTTTTATTTTTTCACAGTGCAGCTGGAACTCCACTTTAAGATTCTCCCCCTGCGATAGCTGATAAATGGTGGGGGTGGCTCAGCTATACAGATAGCATCACTAGAAATTATAGGCCATTGAGCAGTGACAGCATCCTATACTAGCATGCTGCTGTTGGAGTACTAGGCGGGAAAAAATACTTGGTCCTAGAGCAGTGGTTCTCAACCTGTGGGTCGCAACCCCTTTGGGGGTCGAACGACCCTTTCACAGGGGTCCCCTAGGACCATCAGAAAACACATATTTCCGATGTGTAAAGAGCAGCTACTGTGTAGAAAGCAGCTACTGTGTTGAAAGCAGCTACTGTGTTGAAAGCAGCTACTGTGTTGAAAGCAGCAGTATTGGAGGTAAAACGACACTCATGAACTATAATTACTGGGTAAATAATTGTATGGTTGGGGGTCACCACAACATGAGGAACTGTATTAAAGGGTCACGGCATTAGGAAGGTTGAGAACCACTGTCCTAGAGGTTCTTATCTTTCAGGTGGACAGTATCACTAGCTGCAGTAAGAGCCCACTCTTTTTGCTTCTGGGTGCCTCTCTGGAATACCCTCTTTATATAAAGAGCTGGATCATATCAGCTGTTTGAGTTAATGCGGTATCAGGGCTGGAGTTACTCCTAATCACTGTAAGAATGGGAACGAAAAGAATTTCGCTTACCAAGGATGCAGGATGTGACCTCTGCGTAAGGAGGAGGGAATTCCTGTTGATGGGTTTGTGGTACAAACGAATGTCAGAGTGATTTAATTATATGAAGTAACTGTACATTTTTAAATCCAGAAAGTTAATATCAGAGATGGAATGTGTCAATGTCAATTGTTCCAGCCCACAAATCAATATATAAGGCTTGTAATATAGAATATGAGAGGACAGTTAAGGCAGAAACTAATCTTGTTCAAAGCGATACTTGAGGATATTCATAAAGGGAGGTGCCACATTTAAGCCCATGGCTGTCTCAGCACCTTGTAAGTAGAGGGTGTCCTTAAATTTGAAGTAATCCAATGTCAAAATGAGCATTAGTAATTCAAGATAACTGTGTACATTCTTCTGAGATTCAGTGTAGCAAGTATACAGCCCGAGGGAATGGATTCCAGCTATTTCAGATTTAATAACCATTAAGGACTCACTCAGGTCATATTGCATTTTTTGAACTAATGGTTATAGAAAAGCATCAACAAAGACCAGGGGGTTGTAGGGCTGACCCCTTAGCAGACATGATAGGATGTCGAAGATGATTTGCCAGGTCTTTGTGTATTTTTGGTAAGGTGTAGATTTTGGTGCAATGGGGAAAATTGATGGTGAGGAACCCCAAGTCATCCTTAGAGCCAGCCATGAGAAAAGTTTTTTGCGCAGCTTGTCATCAACTATATGACTGAATTGTCAAGTTTGATCATTTGGAAGCACAGAATAGTATGTTTTCTGATATTGTGTGAGTTATTCTTGTCTGTAGTCAGATACGTTTTGTATGACAATGGTGCCCCCCTTTTTTTTGGCAGGAAAGATAACAGTGGATTGTTCCAAGGACAAGCATGTGATTGCATCCCATTCAACCCCCCTGGTTAGATTGTGTTTGAGTGGTTCATTATAGTACTTTTATGGCAGCCTCATA